CCTTAATATTTACAAAACACACGTTATATTTTCCTTTACCTAATACATATTTTTTTTCATCAATTAAAACGAGAATAATCCATAGGTACAGGATGTGCAAACATTTCAAAATCATGAGTTGAATAACGCTGACTCCGCCAGATTAAATATTAGAGCCTAACACAAAGCGGAGCGGCGACGCACTGGCGCCTACAAACCTCACAGGGATACTTCACGCATTGCGCAACGCGTGAAGTATCCCTGTTAGGTTTGTAGGCGCCAATGCGTGTTTTGCGCTGACTGCCCGCCTGCCGCACCGCAGCGTGCCACGGCGCTTGAAGCAACTATTTCACACCAGAGGTATTGCACAGAATCTACGAAACTGAAGGAGCTCTAATATATTAGGAATGGCAGGCATCAAAAGGCATCAAAAGCACGGAGCTTTCCTCGCAAAATAAATCAAGATACTACGGCCCAAAAAGAGAGGAGTGGTCCAAAAACTCACTAAGTCCTAGCATCCGTAATTAGTGACGTTTAGCATACACTTTATCGCCTGACTGTGAGTTGCTTAATCGCCATCGGCTATAAAAGGCTGTAAGAAATTGTGTAGCCGGCTATAGAAGCTATTGGAAATCTTACAGCCGGCCGTAGGTCTATGGTATGTTGGAACACAGATTATACTGCCAATTTTTACCAGGGATCAATACTCTACGTGAGTCAAATTGCGCCTTACAACGGTTTCGGCAGGTTTGGTTTCTCAATCGAGCGCTGTTCCTTTCCCAACCTTTACCGCTCCAAGTGTGAAAAATTTGCTATAGCTGAGCCGAAGCGTCATGATGAGGCTACTATATTTTCGTATCGCAGAGACTGCCACAGTAACGTTTGTGCGATTTGACGCACGCAGACCACTGAGTTTTCATGAGCGGGAGGTCTGAATTCACGCGTCAAGAAACATTAAATATCTTGGTAAAGAGTTAATTTCAGTAACTTTCGTTGTGCGAATTGTCTTCTATACGTGAAATTTTGGTAAAGAAACATGTTTCAGCATGCTTAATGTTGTGCCTTGTCGAGTGGTCCATACCAATGGATCGATCGCGTATTTGCTGCAATATTAAGATGGATATCGTGTATAATTTCTCATGTTTTTTAGAAACTCGCTGGATAAATCACGTATATTGTTTAATGTTCTCGCAAATTTGCGTAAAAATGTTTTATAAATTAACACTGATGAATGCTATCTGCGGAGTAGTCATTCGGTATCACGAGAAAATGAAGGAATACCATATAGCTTTTCGATCGTCTCAAATTACGGACGTTTACGAATATAGATATAACTCTCGCATCGTTAAACGCGGAAATCAAGCTCACAACAATTATTGCATTCTGGAGCTTTCCCGGTGGTATTGAGGTGAAAAGCGCCTGATGTAGGTATAATTGTTTAAAAAACCGCCAAAAAAATCACGTACTAACCGCGACATTGAGATGAAGAACGCGTAATTTCTCAGTTTTACAAAACCGCCGGAAAGATGGCGTTTTTGCCGCAATACTCTGCCCTCCCATTTTTGACTTGTTCTACAGCCTCAAAGGCTCCCATGTAAAAATTTTAAAATACATTTAGAAACACTTAGATGAAAAACATCTATAATTTCTCACGTTTTTACAAAACCGCCGGTTAAAAAGCACGTATTTTTTTAATGTTCACGACAAACGTTAAAATGTTTTATGAATCCACACCGGTCAAAGCGCTCTATGCAGTAGTCACGCGGTAGGTATATGCAAAAATGAAGGAATATCTTAATTTCTCGATCGTCTCTAAATGCTGCCGTTTATGAATATAGTTATTTCTCTCGGACCGATAAATGCGGAAATCAAGCCTACAACTATTGGAACTCCGGGGTAGGTTTGTGGTATCACGCGAAAGTGAAGGAAATTTTAGCTTTCCGCTAGTCCCAAATTACTTACCGACGTATATGAATTCATTATGCTTGCATCGTTTAATGTAAACTACTACATTACAGAACGTGTCTTTCTTGAGTTAATGGTAAAGGAAACTGTCACCCGTATCTGTATAAAGTTTAGTAACTGTAAGCTAGTAAGAAACTATCGTCCTATCACTGTGGTTCCAACCTTGGCTGAAGTTCTAGAAAAAGTCCGTTGTAATCATAGCTGTACAGCTACTTTAAAACCAACCAGCTGTTTGACAACAACCTATTTGGCTTTCAACTGCGGTCCCTAGCGACCGCACTGCGTTAGGCGCAATGCGTGAAGTATTCCCGCACTCTTGTAGGCGCTAATATGCGGCGCGCGGCAACCGCACTGACTCATTGTGTTCGACACAATGCTTGAAGTATTCATTCCTTCTTGTAGGCGCTAATATGCGGCGACTGCACTGACGCATTGTGTTTGACGCAATGCTTGAAGGGTTCCTGCAGTCATGTAGGTGCTAATATGCGTTTTGCGCTAACAGGCGACCGCACTGTTTTTGGCGATATTAGAAACGACAATACAGCAATAGATTTGAAAAAAAAAATTGTAGAATTGAAGGAGAGAATTGAAGAATGGCTTGGTAAAATTGATATAACGATTCATGTAGGGCGCAGACAAAAATATTCGAAGAAAGTGTTTATCAAAAATTAAATGAAAACAAGAAGCAAAAGCTAAAGCAAGTAAATTTTCATCCGTGAAAAGGAAACTTACATCGGCGGATAATTTTGACGTAAAGAAACAGCGTATTTTACCACTTACTTTACTTTTTTTACCAGTAAAAAATGGCCCGAAGTATTTGAAAAGGAATTAAGGGCAGATTTGCGAAAGCGAGTGAATAAGTTGTCACCTAAGAATGTAAAACTACACTTCTTAAAAAATAGAAAATCTTGAGAAGGAATAGGCTAAGAACAGGCACGAACACGAGTTGTATATAGCTTTGATCTCGTCGCTGACGCAGCAACGCACCATTCATAATGCATTGATAAGTTGTATCATGGTTTTTATCATGATTTGCCGCATACTGAAACGGATAGTGTTTTTCCACCAAAACATGTATTTTTGACGATATTCGTGCACACTCCTCTTTGAAATTTTCATATATCTTATCATAAATTTTAGATTAAATTGCGTACGAAATTATCTGAAAATTTTGGAAAATGATATTCACAAGTTTCCCAGTAAATTCGGTTTTTATTGGAAGAAACTTGGCACCGTCTGGAGGCTCATACGGCGTTCTTCCTTAGTACGGCAGTATGGTGATTAATTTTATTTGCCCCTGAGCCTCCATTATTGACCTCTTGCATGGCATATTTGAATCGTCAAATCATCAAGTAATAGGGAATCTCTCAGTGGCCAGATGAAATAAAAATGAGGAACGCTTTTGGAATTGAACATTTGAATATACGTCGAAGAATCTATCAAAAGATTAAAAAAATATGATATTTATATCTGGAACTCAGGAGAGTTGTATCAATTTTCTCAAGAAAATTTCGGCAAAGTGAGAAAAATTTTAGATTTCTCATCAGGGTTGAAAAGATGTATTCAGTTGGCTGAACCTCTTTGGCTGCAATCAAGGTAAAGTTCAGATGAAGCCGCAAAAGAGGTGCATGAATCAATAGTTTAACTCTAACTTTATTCACCTGCTTCGATGATAAATCGATTTTTTGAAAATGAAAGTAGGCAGCTGGAGCTTTGAGTATGTATTGTACTCGGTAAAAGAAACATGCATTTGTTGTAACAAAAATAAAAATTTATTTAATTCATTACACTGTATAAAATAACTCTACAGAAATAATTCTTCAGATATGTATAAATCTCTAATTTTTACATTGTATCTTTAAGATAATAAATAATGTAATCCAGATTGGACAGTTATTAGTCCAGGCGCCTGGTAGCTAAAAATGAGGCTACCTGGAATTTTGGGTACACAGCGATTTTTTTGGCTTACTTTATGTTTTTTGGGTCGCTGAATCCGAATCTGAAGTTTCCGCAGGCGTATCTGGTGAGCATTTTCCGCTATTTTGAAAAAAAGGCCTTTTTAGGCCATTTTTTCAAAATAGCGGAAAATGCTCACCAGATACGCCTGCGGAAACTTCAGATTCGGATTCAGCGACCCAAAAAACATAAAGTAGGCCAAAAAAATCGCTGTGTACCCAAAATTCCAGGTAGACTTACCAGGCGCCTGGACTATATGCATATTTTGTGCTTAACTTAGTATTTATGACACATAAAGGCCTGCTTCAATATATTGCCCAACGTAGACTTGTTTATATCAATGTATAGTACCAGATATAGCAATGGCATGTTCAATGATCTTTATGGATATTGGATGAGCATCTACAATGATCAAAATTAAAGTGATAGCTGAAATCCACAGGAAGGCATTTAGCTGATTTTTTGTGAAAATCTTACAAAAGCTTGTAACAGCAAAAAATGATCTTTAATAGACAACATGTTTGAAAATTCAAAAAAAGGGTTCCACATTTTTTTTAAGAGTAGGCCGAGGCATAAAAATTTTCTCTGATTCTCCATGTACAAATATGCATCTCAAACGCACATTTTCATTTTTCTTTTGTATGTCATTTGTTACCTATTTGTAATTATCATAATTATCTATTGTGGTTTGCCACAGTTTCCAGGGTTCATCTCGTTTTAAAAAAAACCGAGCAGTGTCATTGCTTAGAGTTAGGTATCAGTAAATATTTTTGATCAGAAGACGAAATGTATAAAGTAATTCAGTTTAGGAAAAACAACTTAGATTGAAATTTTTAGGTCTTAATAATGAATCAGCGATTTGGTGATATCTACTCAGTATCAGCAATTTGTGGCAAGATACCTCCTTAGTTTTAATTACTGAGCTTTTGTCTTCTGCCAGCTCTAATTTGTCCCTCTCTTTTCTTTTGCTTGTCCAATAGAATCGCCCCCAGAGATGAGCCTCCATCAATTCTGCTTTTTAGTGAAGAACTGGCCCTATCATCTGTCCGGAAGCTCGTCAGCATATCAGCTTTGGAATCTTCTAGTCAACATTGTAAGTATGATCAATTTCTTGCTGTATTAGTCGAGTATCACCCAAGTCTGATGAGAGGGCTGATTATGGAAAGTTTAAGCAGCCCGATGAGTGATCGAATCCCTGTATATTGCATGGTAAAGATAGGGCTATGTCTTGTCTTGTCGTGCAAGCATAGTTTCATTAAGCAGGCGAAGGAGTAGCTCTATGTATGTCTGTTATCTCCAAGTAAATACTGCATTTAAAATAACAGGTGTGTGATTTCTTTATGCAAGGTTGACCTTTGGTTGATACAAAGACACAGGAACTCCATCTTTCTTTAAAAATTATAATAGACTGCATCTACTACCTAGAGCCATTTTGGTGAGGTTTCCGAAAGAAAATCAATAATAATAAACATTTTTTATATCAACTGTTCGGAGAAAAGATACCTGTCAAAAAAAAATTAATATGAGAAGAAATTGGGCAATAGGTATGTAATGCAGCTTGTTTCAGGCAGTTGGGCTAACAGTGATTTAAGCTGTCAATGTAGTGCTATGAAGTCAGTGCTGACTTTGAAGTACGAAAATTTTATTCGGACTTTCCCTTATATCACAACGTCGTTATCACTTTATTTCTAGGTATTGCTATCTTTAGTTTTTTTCACTTTTTAAAGAGAGATATCCCTGGAAACTGTGTCAATTTAGTTTGGTTTCTTCTTATCAAAAACACCCATGCTCAAATTATCAAGAGTCAACAAAAGGATTCCGTACTTAAAATGCTCGAAAGTCCTCACGTTTTAAATTTTTTAATCTTCTGTTATGCAGTTAATAAAAAAATTCTGAAACCTGCGGCAAGAGAGCTGCCAGACAAGTATGAATTTAAGTACCATGTAACATTTTTTCTCCCCAAAATTGCGTGAGAAAAATTAATTTTACAATAGGAAGTCTGGAAGTTAGCTCATTACCATGATACTCAATGAAGGAAGCCAAAACGTATTTAACCCTCTCCACAAAATTTAAGTTGTGATAAGCAGTGATGTAGGGTTAATATCACAGTTTACCCCAAGAAATCTGTGGTTTAGGGCCAAAGAACTGTAACAACATTTTCGGAAAATCAGAGGGAAACCATTTGACAGCTCCATTGCCTGCAGTGTATTTTACAAATGCAAATACCCTGTATCTTGAGCCTGGTGATAGATATCATAACAAAGTTTTTTATACTCGTAGATCTTTTAGCAAGTAAGTCGAAAATGCAAATAACTCGATTTTTCTATAATTGTTGATGCTGTTTCTTTGACTTACGGAAATGTCATGTAAAATATTCGTCTACTCTGCTCATCAGCTAAAGTTATAAAAAACAACATCATTGCCGTTGGTACTTGTTACTCCTGCTACCTGCTACTTTAATTGTAATCGCAGTGCACTCGTCCGTGATAATTAAATACCTTTGTGCTAACTTATTCAATAACTTTTATTGCATCTTTGAAACGCAGTCATGTAAGTTATTACACTGTTACATTTGAAAATAAATTTCTGAATAAAAATGCAAAAGGTTTACAAAATAGGCAGAAAAACAAGTGTTCCCAGTCACTTAGCTAATCACAGTAATCGATCACCGGTATTCGAAAATCTCGGTCATTGCAATCACAATCTCATCCCTAATCGCTGATGTTGTGCCAACTGGCATACAATCGATGGGCTTTAAGTGCACTTTCCCTGCTCAAAATCTCAAAAATGGCATCATGAACAGGGAGTAAAGAACTATCACTTTTCTTAAACAAATTTTGTTGGTAACCTATCAAAAATGTTTGAGAGAACAGACTTTCCAATGTCTGTAAGTACGGTATCCTTTATTGTTTAAGTCTCAAAGTAGAGATTACTGTTTAGCCGGTTTAGATGCAGAATGCAGAGTTACAAATAAATGATAAAAGTAGGCAGAATTCAAGTTGCATTCAGCCTTTTTCGACAATTGCTGAACGTTCTATTTGGGACTTGTCATGTAGTGTCTTTTTGGTATTTTGGTATTCGAGTATTTTGATTCTCAATTTATAGATCTGTTAACAATTTCGATTCAAAGGATGGACTCGGATTTTAGCTCTACTATCAGCTATTTTTACTACCATTGTTTGGCGAGTTGTTCGCATGGTTCGTCTTGGACTGTCCCTGGTTCGTCAGATGGGTGTGATAATGCTTGGCCAAATGAGCTTTTTGTCTGAAAGACTTTCCACACAATGTGCAGGAAAAAGGTTTTTCCCCGGTGTGTGTTCGAATATGTACATTTACAGAATACTTATCCTTAAATCCTTTATTACATATATTACAGTAGTGCAGAGACCTTTCCTTGCGGAGACCAGCAGAGGGGTTGGTCACATTCGAAGATTTGAGAGAGTTGGTGGGGCCGGTACTGCTCTTGCTCGATGCGGGCTGTCGCTTGTACTTTCTAGACTTTTGCATACTGGCGCCCGGTGTATGATAACCGCTATTTATTACAGGAGATGTCGTAGAGGCTATTTCTAAATTAGGAACTTGGTTGTGCGGGAAAATCGGGCTCATGAGCGAGTTGGGCGGAATCATGCCTGGATGCCAGCTGGAACTACTTGAGGTTGGGTCATTACTGCTACCATTATTGCTAAAATAGTATGGAGAGTTGAGACTCACAGATTCAGCTACTTCGTTCTCGATACTCTTCAGTTTCTCGTAGTCTTCGGGAAAAGCTACCGAACTGTCGAGGTGAGAAAGAAAAATATCGTCTACATTCGTACTCTCAGAACCGCTGTCTAGAATACCGATCCTACTGCACAACCGATCATCTTCAGGCGTTGGTTGGTTATTGTAAAGTAGTATTGCCCTATGTTCCGCAGTTGTCGGCGACATTGTTCCTATCTGACTTTCTTCTATTTTTATACCTCTGCTCTCATCGAGGCCGAACTGATTCAAACAGTTATTACTATTTCCGCTATTGCTACTTACTTGTGGGTGTGCAAGTTTAGTAGAATATTCATTGGCTTTTTCCTTGTCAGCAACCGCATTGTATCGCAAGAGACTCTTGCCTTGCAGCGCGTTTCGCAGCAACGAATTGTTGATCAGATCAGTAGAAATGTTCGACTCAAGATCGATCCATTCCGATTTCACAGCTAAGTTTTGGCTAGAACTCTTCTTCCTCTCTTCATTTTCGTTTAGGTTCATTTCTAAAATGATTTTATTTACATTTGATGAATTCCTAGCGTAGAAATTGTCCTCTTCTCCGATAATCTGGTGGTTATCGTTGAGACTTTTTGTACTTTTCAGTTTCTGTTCAAACGAGGGATCGTTTGGAGGGTTGGGCGTGCTCTTCTTATCCTTTAAATTGCTATCACTTGTAGGAACATTTATTTGTGAGGCATTGCTAGTATTAGGCATGATATTCAACAGAGATTCTATTACCAGCATGTCGCTGTTGGCAGTCTGATGTAACGTTTGGTTCTCACTTTTTTCATTTGGTTGAGCATTAATACTGTGAACTTCAGGCGCATCGCGGTACCATGATGGCACTGCCTTGTTGGTGTCCTCTGAGAGGAGGCTATTCGAAGTCGGATTGTTCAGCACTGTGAGTGTGTAGATGGACCCATCTGTATTGTTATCACAGTTGGCATCTTGGACGTCATTCATGGGACTGCTCCAGCTATTAATTTCATCCACTAACATCGTCGTGTCCCATTTCATCATTTCTTCTTTATTGCCCCAGTAGGACGAGTAGTTTACACCTGAGTCTGAACCCATCAGAAGGTGATTATTGTTCGTTTCTTTCTCATTGCTCCCTGCCCCTGAGTTCTTTCTCCCATTGTCCGTCTTTTGCTTCGACTCTTTGTTTTCATTCAAGCTCTCAAAATTGTCGTAGAACAAGCCGAAGTTTTTGAGTTGCTTATTACTGAAATCTGCTGAGACTAGGTTTTCCTCGTTTAGTCCGGGCGTCATTATGAAGTCTAAAAAATCCTGCTTGTTATAATCTTCCCCATGAAAATTTCCTGATACATCCATCATTCAACTCCGTGCTAAAATGTGAGTGATTCTCTATCTCTGGTCTTGCGTAATGTGTTACAGGTCTTTCTCTAGCCTTTACGTCTTATCACGTGAATGTGAATACTTTGTTTCGCAGTGCAGTTATAAATCTCAACACGAAAGGACAATGAATATGCTCAAATAATGCCATTATCAGGAAAACGTCAGTAAACCATAAAATGAGCAGCAGAGATTTTGAGAATAACTTATTGAGATCATTGTGTCAACGTCTTGCCCGCTGTTAAATGTGTCTCATTTTTAAGATTTTCTTCATACTCCACAATTCTGCAACAGAAAAACAAACAAAAATTATAAGTATAAGCAATCCTAGATATTCTTTTTGTGTTTGATTTTAGTGCTTTCATTCATACAGGATGTGTATTTTTTGTGTGTTTCAGTGATTACAGCACTGAAGATCCAAGAGAAAAATAGAAAAGTCTTCATCATAATTTCAAAAACTTAATTATTATTATTAATTTAATTTTTCTTGGTACTCTTTTCAAATTAGCTGCAAGTAAAGCCTTTACAAATCTTCTCATGAAACAATGTCGTCGAAACTGCAGCTAAACTCCATTTTATTCGATCTTTTAAGTTTCAATCATTGAATGACCTGATCCTTAAGTTAATTATTTTAACGCATATTTTAGTTTACCATGGGTGAACCTGGCAAAGTTTACAATTTTTTGGGGGGTTTTACGCTTCTCAGGTTTATTCAATAGGTGAAAATGAATGTACCTTTTGTAAAGACTTCTTGCTGTCAATAGTTTTACTTGAGACAGATTATTGTTTATTTCTGTTAAATAAAGTTGTTTGTTAGTAGTCAAAAATTTTCGTCAGTCGAGAATTTCTTCAACAATAAGCTTCCAAAAAAATCAAACTCCAAAGTCTATCAATCTGTCCAAAATGATTATTCTCGTCATGTACGTGTTACGCCCCGTTGATAAAATTGCCCAGTCCGTGAACTAGGCAGCCAGCTTGCGGACTGGTCTGGTCAGCGGAAATTGATAGACAAAGCTATAGAGAAAGAAGAAACAAGGAGTATAGAGCGATCCTGTCGGTTGAAATGGGTGATTCTCATAGACTAAGGGGGTAAATGATGGACTAACTATCGGATCTCTCGTAGATTGCCGTTGTTGGTCTATCACCTACGCCCTATCTGTCCATTGCAACCACCCGCTTCCACCAATAGGACCCGTCCATATCCTTTTTGTCTTCTTTGTCTATCAGTTTCAATAATCAGCTCGCGGGAGTCTGAAAATCACGCCAACGGACCGATCTTCAATTTTAGCCACAAAACATACGTTAATCGACGAATTCCTGCCGTGAACAATTTCTGACGAGGATTTCGCCAGATTTTTAATGCAACTTTTAAGTTTCAAAATAAAAACCAATATAATTTATAAAAATTTATCGGTTACTTATATCAAGTTAACAAATATATTTTTTGTTTAAATTTCTTTTAGGAGTTTTCAATAAGCATTTAAGAATGAGTTTTTTACAAACCGGGGATCCGAGTGAACAAACCCGATCACTTCGTTTCATCGAGGGAGGTGTGAATGGAACTAACAGAAAAAGAATAATTCTCGGCGAAAATCTCCATCAAATGTTCCGAAATTATTCAGAAGTTGGATATAAGAAAATACTACGCGAAAACCTGAAATTCGTCGACCAATGAGAGAGTGGCACTTTTTTTTCTTAAAAGAATTGATATGGCATTAATTTTTCTACTTAGGTACTATATCACAAGAGTGCTACAAATGACGAGTCCCGTGCATCTCCGAAGGAGTGAGAAAAGCGGAAGTACCTGCAATTTTCAACATGCAACACGCACATCCATGAGACACGAATAGTTGCATCAAGGCGCCTCAACCAACTCACATTTAGTGTAGTAGATGTCCATAGGGTGATATAATCACCGAGTTGAATCAGTCATCCTCAAAACGACAAAAGGTGATTCGATGGATGCCATATTTTGTGTCAAAACAACGTGCGATATATCGCATCGATTGGTTCCATTTTTTCCTCACCGTTACGTCTTGTATACGTCTGTAGCGCTGGGCACTATGGGACGCGTTGACCACGGCGCCTTGATACAACTATACAACCTCGACGGATGTCCGTATTGCGTTCAAAAGATTGAAGGCGTTTTGAGTTCCTACGCACTAACTGAAGTTTATTCGATCGACAGACGCGTTGGTCGGTGGAGACAGCTAGGGACTTGATGCAACCAATTAAACTTGCTGGGTGTCCGTATCGCACCGACTGAAGTACGAAACCACGTATCTCCATTGCGGTGTTTCAAAATTTCCGTTCTTATAATTCATCTCCTCCAAGAGGAACAATCATAATTTACGACTTTAAATTTTGAACCAAATCTTCTGCTATCGAATACGGAAAATCGTGGAGAATTTAAGTTTTATGTTCACCAGTTTCTCGAAGAAAAAATAAAGTTTTTCAAGAAGTTTGCAACGTCGCAAATGGAAATACGTCGTTTTTTATTTTGCGCATTGATGCGTGAAAGGCTGCAGTAATTTTCCCCTACGCTACATCTTGTATACGTCCGTAGCGCTGGGCACTATGGGACGCGTCGACCACGGCGCCTTGATACAACTATACAACCTCGACGGATGTCCGTATTGCGTTCAAACGATAGAAAGCGTTTTGAGTTCCTACGCACTAACTGAAGTTTATTCGATCGACAGACGCGTTGGTCGGTGGAGACAGCTAGGGACTTGATGCAACCATTTAAACTTGATGGGTGTCCGTATCGCACCGACTGAAGTATTTCAGCCACTCGCCATTTTTCTCGAATTTTGAAATCGCATTTCTGTTGTTATGAGACTAAAGAATTCACTTACCAATTTTAACAAACAAATGCAACGTAACACAGGTGTATTTTTTTAGAGAAGAAACATCGCATTCGAGTGCAGTTTCGATAGCATTATCGAATGCGATGTTTTCTCTTAAAAAAAAAACCACGCCTTTATTAAGTTGAATTTGTTTGTCAAAATTTGTAAGTGAATTCTTTAGTCTCTTGACAGCAGTATTGCGATCTCAAAATTCGAAAAAAATGACAACTAGCTTAGGAAATGGAACTAATTGGTGCGATATAACGAATGTCGTTCTGACACATAATATAGCGTCCATCGTATCACCTTAAGCGCCAGAAATAATAATACTACAAAACCCGTAAAAAACGATTTAACCAACCCGTTCTGGAAGAGCTCAGAAATATTCAATAAAAAAATTAATTTCTCTATTTTAGTCTAACTTACGATTTAAAACAGGTGGCTTTACTAATGCAGCAGCCTGATAGTTGAAATTTATGTCGGCACGACAAGAATCGAAAATCGATGTCTTACACGGCGCAGATAGGGCTATATCTTGTCTTATCGTGCCGACATAGCCAGTTAAAGTTTCAACAATCCGGCTGCAGCTCCAAATGTTTTTCTCTTGTTTTCATTTCTGACTCTTAAGTCTTTAAAAATGACGGAAACGATTATTGGCCTTAGATACCCTTGCGCTTGTTGTCACTAACTGGTAAGATAACACTCTTCTAAGTACTCTGTTATTGGAGTGCTACAACTGACGAGTCCCCCCATGCACCTTTGAAGAAGTGAGAAAAGCGAAAGTGCCTTCAATTTTTAACATGCAACACGCACATCCTCGGAACACGAATAGTTGCATGAAGGCGCTACATTCAACTCGGTCTAGTCTTCCTCTTGTATGATGGGCATAGACATTATTTTAGCAATGCATTAGGCAGGTAGGTGTCTCACTCGTTAGGAGACAAAGAAGACAGAGCGAAATTGGAGTTGCAAAGCAACCACAAGGAACTAAAAAGTCACGAGGGTTCTGCGAAAATACGGAATATAATGCAGTTATCCGCAAAAATTAGTCCTGACGAAAGTCTGCGTGGGTGCAAAAATCTGTGTTAAATCTCAACCAAACATGAGTTTACCGTTGACAGCGAAAATAAAAAAATAAACTGTCATCTGCGCGCGAGCACCTGCGAAACCGCAAATCCACCATTATCTGACAGTGTCCACTAAAATCCGTGATCAGCTGGAGTAGCCGCACGAAATTGCGAAAAGCACAGGGGAAAATTACCTTGCAACAAGTCTAACTTGTAATCGGTCGAGAACTTATCATGTCATGACGTTGATAGTGAGCCCCACCAGGATAGAGTCCCTGGATCGAGGAGACTTAGGTACCCCGAAGATTTTTGAAAAATTTGATCTCGTCAGAGTGATAGTAGTCAAAACTATGAACTTCCCATCATTACTATAAATAAAGGGCTTGGAGGACAAGGCGCATAAACGCGCGGTTTATGAAAAAAAATGAGATATTGATTATTTTAAGTAAGACTGGTCGTAATGCATTTTCTGGGAAAAATTCGCTCCCTAAGTCCAATTTTTAAGAATCAAAAAGTCAGTTTGAACTTTCTTCCCGCCACAGGAATCTTTGTAATTTCGAAACTTTAAGTCTCGAACTAACAAAAACTGCACTTAATTATGTGCCTTTTCCTCCAAGTCCCTCAAATTATCTAACTTATGGTGTATTTTCCGAAGGAATACGCTATTTTTATGGGGTTTTTTCTACCTAGGATTGTTAACTTTTTTAAAACTTTTTTATCGATTTTTTGATATAACGCTGATATACATACTTTCTTTACCTACACTGAACTCTTCTTGACCGAGATACTCAAAAGTGAAGCATCAAGTAGCTCAATGCAATGAAACTATTGACATATTTTTGGAATTTAATTAAATACAATTGCAATTTTTTCGCCGTGAATAAAGGTGCAAAAAATAGGTAAATTGCAATGCAAAACAAATTGCAACTTTCTTAATTTTATCGCAACAATTTGAATAAGAGGAGCCCCTTCAATTAGTGAGTCGGCAAAATACGCAGCAGTCCGATACAATATCAATACCTTTTCCATACAACTGTAATTTACTGCAACCTGGGCTTCTTGGAATCTGAGTTAGGCATGTTCGATCATGGAAAAAATTGAATAATCGCAATCGGAACATGCAGACAATCGATCAAACGATTAACCAGCAGCGGAACAATCGATTTAGGTACCTTTAATGTATTAATATTCAATTTTTCGAAATCTGCTGAAAATGGCCAGTTTTACAAGTAAAATCGCTTGATTGTTCTAGATTATTCGGCGCGAGAAAACTCTATTTGAGAGACTTGGAGGACAAGGCGCATAAGTGCGGTTTTTTTCTATTTCGAGAAATACGTGCTTGAAGTTCCGAAGTTACATAGGCCCGTATGGCGTGAAAAAAGTTCATACTGACTTTTTCATGCTTAAAAATTAGAATTTGGGAGCGAATTTTTCTCACAACATACATTCAGACTAGTTTAACTTGAATTCATTAATCTCTCAATATTTCCAACAACTGCACTCATGTGCCTTGTTCTTCAAGCCCCTCATTTAACGTATCCTCGAAATTCTGATTAAACTAAAAATGGATTAAATGATTAATCGGACAACTGTTAATCGATTGCTTTAATCGATTAGGTACTAAGCGCTCGATTAATCTATTAGTGATGGGGACATTCCTTATACGAGCGCTTTGGATGTAAGAAGGGTCGTATGAGGACACGTCTCGCTGTCCCTTCGAGGCTGTACGCCACTGAACGAAACATCGTTACAGCAACTCAATGAATACTGTGGTTTCAGAGCAGCTCTGCGTACCCGCGGAATTACTCGCCCCACCGGTATCTCCAAGTTCATATAAGTGCTTCCTTCCTTGATAAGTTCCCTGACAACAATGAATCCAGGTCGTAAAAAAGTAGGAACAGAACTGAGGCATGCGAGGGTGGATGATAGAAGAGGCGTCAATGGTCGGGTTGGGGGTGGAGGCGGGGTGTGAAGGATTTATGGGAGAAAAGAAGGCACGCGCATTGCGAGCACTGTCTAATGTGCAAGGAAATTATTCCGCGCGCATGTTTACGGGCTTCGACAACCGCTGCTGCACGCCCAGTTATGGTTTTCATCACAGTCGGCCGCCCAGCTTATTGCAGCCGATGTAAGTGAAGACGGGCGGGGTGAGACCGTTATTTTGCGTCCGTGTGCGGGCTGCGGGGGCGGAATTCTCGCCTATTTGCAAATCAACATCAGAAGACACGCTAACGCACAAAAAGTTTCAACAAATTCTTCAGCGTTCTCATACACTGGAAAAAAAGTCTTTTGGATTTCGAGTCCAGACCCCCCAAAAAATTAACAAGCAAAAATACTGTTGATTCAATCGGATTTTTGCTCGAACCGTTGTTTGCGTCCGTGTGCGGGCTGCGGGGGCGGAATTCTCGCCTATTTGCAAATCAACATCAGAAGACACACTAACGCACAAAAAGTTTGAACAAATTCTTCAGCGTCCTCATGCCACTGGAAAAAAAGTCCCTTGGATCTAGGGTCCAGACTCCAAAAAAAATTGACAAGCAAAAATACTGTTGCTTCAATCGGATTTTTGCTTGAACCGTTATTTGCGTCCGTATGCGGGCTGCAGGGGCGGAATTTTCGCCTGTTTGCAAATCAGCATTATAGAAAACACCCTAACGCGCAAAAAGTTTAAACAAATTCTCCAATATTTATACATGCACTGGGAGAAAAAACAGTCCGGTCGTTTCATTTTAATTCTTAGAGACTAAGACATGATCTATGGATCGAATAGTTTGAGAAATTTCGCGGAGACTTGAACGCAGGGAAGAAAAATTAACCAGTCCTAGCTATAGTCAACACCTAATGAGAGTCTTACAGCTCCCTTTTTTCGAGAAACTGGAACTAAATTTAAAATTAATAAAGAGAAAGTTTCCCAAAAACTGTAGGAAGACGAATTGATCTGGGAAAAACACTTTTATTTCCAATCTTTGTCTTAACTGATTTTCTGTTTTCTTATTTAATGCCAGTTTTTACAGTGAACCCCGGTGTTTTCTTTTATAATATTCTTTTCTCTTCTTTGATTCTATTGCCTTTAATAAAAAAATTTACCAATATTTAGGAATGTAAAATTATTTACTGAGTAGAATGATAAAATTTATTTCATTATTAGGGGAACATCAGACTGTTAGAGACGACTGGGAACGGTAGTAAAAATAATTTACAAAAAATGCATCGTACAGACGATTGTCTGGTCCCAGTCTTGAATATTGAAAAATGCGGTAGAATGCGCTGCGCTGTTTTAATGATGATTTAAGCACGGATGAATTAGTATAATTACGGCGGCGCGGCAAAGCAAGCGTCCATTGGTCCAGTCATGATCCTACCCTACCCAACCAGTGCTTTTCCGATCACAAATTGTTGGAATTTTAATCCTGGATTAGCGATCCGAGAATTTGTATCTTTAACAACTCAGAAGTTGTTCCGTCCAGCATGAGAAAATGTTTTTGGTACATTATCAACTTTGCACCTCTAATTGTGCTCACCCATTTGTTTCTCCATTTTTAAAGCTATTTTTATGATATTAAGATTTTCTTAACACGAAAAAAAGTTAAGAGATAAATGTCGCGACGTCGTGAGGTCAGTAGCTCTTACTTTATTTATATGAGTACTTATTGACGAGCTGCTAAAAATGAAATAAATTTCGAAAGTCTCGGGCAGTGTTGAATAATTCCGTTTGAAATCGTGCGTTTAAGAATGGTGAGGTTTCAATAGATTACTTTCTCGAGACATTCAAGTTTAGGAGGGTTGTGTGTCTCTGAGGAAAAGAGAAGAGGAGGAAACAGCCACAAAAAGATAATAGTCCAGCGGGTTGATTGTTGATATCGATAGACAGAGCTATAGACAAAGAGGACAGAAGGGATATGGGGGGGACTCTGTCGGTAGAATCTGATGGTTGCGGTGGACAAAGGAGGTACGTAATAGACCAACTAACGGCAACCCACGAAGAACCTTATAATTAGTCCATCATTTACCCCCTTAGTCCATGAGAACTACCCGTTTGAACAAATAGGATCGCTCCATACTCCTTGTGTATTTTTTGTATATCGCCTTGTCCATCAGTTTCAACAATCAACCCACAGAATCGAAATTTATCCCTGCTAGAAAAAAAGGAACACTATCCATTTATGCGATCCTAAATTATCGGACGCTGGCAGACGCTTTCGACGGAGAAATTGCAGGAACGTGTGTCTTGTTTGCGGTGATTCAAAATCTCCGCTCCCATTTTATTTTATCAAAAGAGAACTAACCACTTCTACTGCTTACAATTTTTGTACAATATTCCACCCATCGAGAAAAAGAAGAAAAAACGAGGAAAAGCTTTCAAGGTATGACGTCGAGTATTTTTCCATCTAAAAAATGAAGTATGACAGAAAATCCGCTAGGTTTCAAACCAAAACACGCTCCTGCAGTTTCGCCGACATTCTGCTCACGCGGACTGGGACCATTGGCGGATCCAGCAAATTGGCAACATTTTTTTTTCTCCATTTAAACCTATAAAAATATATCGATCCTTGGAGGGGCCAGGTGCTCCGACAAGAATCGATATAATGTGGAGGGAGTCCGGTGTTGCCAAATTACTGGATCCGCCTCGGAGGATCGCGCATCCAGCAAATTGGCAACATGTTTTCTCTCCATTTAAACCTATGGAAATATATCGATCCTTGGAGAGGCCAGGTGTTCCGACAAGAATCGATATAATATGGAGGGAGTCCGGTGTTGCCAAATTACTGAATCCGCCTCGGAGGATCGCGGATCCAGCAAATTGGCAACATTTTTTTTCTCCATTTAAACCTATGGAAATATATCGATCCTTGGAGAGGCCAGGTGCTCCGACAAGAATCGATATAATATGGTCCTGTGTTGCCAAATTACTGGATCCGCCTCTGACTGGGTTTCGACTGTAATGAGTTTTTCTCACTTTGCTGATGAGCTGACTCACCGATGGGAATGATAAATCGGCGCTAAGAAACGGCAGGACACTGCAGGGGTGAATGAGAGTAAGCGGCGATCACGCTGGGCAGTCGGTGGGAGGAAGGCGAGAGGCCCCAGCCAGTGCGGCCATGGCATCTTAGATCAGACTCCATTTCAGGCGACTCTTCACCAACCTGAAACAAGCAGAACGAACCAAATAAAAATCAACTGGAAGGGTCATGTGTATGGGTGCCGTTACAGATAAATCTTTGAGAGCAGGGGCAGTTTGGTTAGAGCCGTAGCGTTAGGTTCCATCCTGAAGGGATGGAACAATAGCGAAAAATGGCAAAAAGGTACATTGTGATTGGGTCTCTTATTAGTTCTCTGAGGGGTGAGTGAAAACACTGGAAAAAAAACCACATTGGATCTAGAGTCCAGACTCTTGAAAACATTGACGAGAAAAAATACTCTTGATTCAATCGAATTTTTGCTTGAATCAAAACGAAATCCGCTTAAATTAAGATGCTTGGTTCTTGATTAAAGCTAGATTCTGATTGAATCAAGAGTAATTTTTCTTGTCGATGTTCTTAAGAGTCTGGACTCTAGATCCAATGTTTTTTTTTTTTTTTTTTTTTTTTTTTTTTTTTTTTTTTTTTTTTTTTTTTTTTTTTCCCCAGTAAAAACAGAGATGAGTAAAATCCACTTTAATTAACTGTGACTGCTGCGCAAAATTTAGCAGACCCATCGGATTTAGTCTACTGACCTGAGCTTGGACAGTGCAAAAAGTCAAAATGAAGGGAAGAATCGAAGGGAATAATGACAAACAATTTGGAAAAT